TCCTACTGCACACACCACTTCCTACTGCACACTCCACTTCCTACTGCACACTCCACTTCTACTGCACACTCCACTTCTACTGCACACTCCACTTCCTACTGCACACTCCACTTCTACTGCACGCTCCACTTCCTACTGCACGCTCCACTTCCTACTGCACGCTCCACTTCCTACTGCACACGCCACTTCCTACTGCACACTCCACTTCCTACTGCACACTCCACTTCTACTGCACACTCCACTTCCTACTGCACGCTCCACTTCCTACTGCACACGCCACTTCCTACTGCACAGGCCACTTCCTACTGCACACTCCACTTCTACTGCACAGTCCACTTCTACTGCACACTCCACTTCCTACTGCACACACCACTTCCTACTGCACACTCCACTTCTGCACACGCCACTTCCTACTGCACACGCCACTTCCTACTGCACACTCCACTTCTACTGCACATGCCACTTCTACTGCACACGCCACTTCCTACTGCACACTCCACTTCTGCACACGCCACTTCCTACTGCACACGCCACTTTCTACTGCACACTCCACTTCCTACTGCACACTCCACTTCCTACTGCACACTCCACTTCTACTGCACATGCCACTTCTACTGCACACCCACTTCCTACTGCACACTCCACTTCTGCACACGCCACTTCCTACTGCACACGCCACTTTCTACTGCACACTCCACTTCCTACTGCACACTCCACTTCCTATTGGGAAGCAGTAAGGTCAAAGACATACTTGTCTCTCCCCTTTTAAAGTCGGTGATCATTTTTCAATGTCCCTGGTGAGTGACCCTCAGCAAAATATATTCTAGCTTCATCTGAGTTTATAAAACAGAACAACGATGTGTCTTCACATACAGAAATTGAGGCCCCAAGAGGTTAAGTGACTTGACCATATTCACACAGCCTAGGCTGATGGCAGCTGGAAGGCAGAGCTGGAGAGAGGGCCTGACGAGGTCTACCCTATCCCCTTTCCCCTAGAAGCCTGCAGCATCCAGGCAGCCAGAGCTGGGAGAGCTGGCTACATTCCTGGGCCGCGCAGACCCGTGGTACCAGAGCAACGTCAACACGCTGTGCCCCGCCATCCACAAGCTGGCTGAGATGGTAAGGGAGGGTGAGGGTACCTGGGAGGGAGAGAGGGAGGGGAGCGGGGTCTGGGCAGAGGGGAGAAAGGAGGAGCCCAAGTGGGCAGCAAGGGTGAAATGGGGGTAAGAGGGGGCTATCTTTTCGCTGCTGTACTTGACCCTTGACCTTAAGAGTCGAGTGGGATGAGGCAGGAAGGGAATTCGAGAGAGGGGCCCTAACCAGCTAGTGGCTTTGAACTCACTTGGAACACTTACCAGGCACTTACTTTGGACCAGACCACCTTGGAAAAGATTAAGTAAAATATTCTTTCATAAGTGTGTAGGGCAGTTATATTCCTTCTTGTGTGAGCTTCCTGTAGTCTTTTTTCTTTGTTTTTAACAATTTATTTATTTATTTTTGTTTTACTTCAAGTTCTGGGATACATGTGCAGAACATGCAGGTTTGTTACATAGGTATACATGTGTCATGGTGGTTTGCTGCACTTATCAACCCATCATCTAGGTTTTAAGGCCCGCATGCATTAGGTATTTGTCCTAATGCTCTCCCTCCCCTTGCTCCCCATCCCCAGACAGGCCCCGGTGTGTGATGTTCCCCTCCCTGTGTCCATGTGTTCTCATTGTTCAACTCCCACTTATGAGTGAGAATATGAGGTGTTTGGTTTTCTGTTCCTATGTTAGTTTGCTGAGAATGATGGCTTCCAGCTTCACCATGTCCCTGAAAGGGACATTAACTCATTCTTTTTTATGGTTGCATAGTATTCCATGGTGTTTATGTGCCATAATTTCTTTATCCTGTCTATCATTGATGGGCATTTGGTCTGGTTCCAAGTCTTTGCTATTGTAAATAGTGCTGCAATAAACATACGTGTGCATGTGTCTTTATAGTGGAATGAATCATTTTTCTATGATTGTAATAGCTGATGTTTCCTGAGCACTTATGCTGCACCAGGCACTGTTCTAAACACTTACGCACAGGGCGGCTCATGTAATTCCCACAGTAGCCCAGAGGCAGGTGCCCCTGTTGGTAGGTACTATTGTCACCATAGCCCCGTTTTACAGATCAAACAACTGAGGCACAAAGAAATTAAGTATCTTGCCTGAAGTCACAAAGTGAGTGGTGGAGTGCCACTTGGAACCAGGCAGCTTGACTCTAGAGCACCCTCTCCTAACCACAAACCCACGCTGCCATATCTCAACCGTGGCTGGCAGCGGAGAGGGAACTCATCTTTTACCGGTTTGAAAGGGCTTTTATATAGTAAGACAATTCTACCCTTTTTGTCGTCACATATGTTGCAGATATTTTTCCCACGGTTGTAACTTGCCTATCCACTTTTTGACTTGCGGAAGTTTAATACTTGGATGTCGTCAGACATACCACTTTTATTCTTTACAGTTTCTGCCTTTGGAGTCATGCTTTCAAAAGCTTAAATAAATGTTCACTGATAATTTACTCTAACACTTGACATATCTCAATTTTTACATTTAATTAATTGCCTATCTGCAATTAATTTTAGTGTTTAGTGTGAAGTATGTCATTTTATTTTTTCCAAATGTTGAGCTAGTTGTCCTAAAGCTATTTTGCATAAACCATCTTGCCGCAGCAATTTGAAATGCCACTTTTATCATTTGCTAAATACTTACATGTGCCTGTATTTAGTACATGATACTTACATGTGCTTGTATGTAGTACATGATCCTTACATGTGCTTGTAAGTATTTAGTACATACGTACTCTCTCATTGATTTATTCATTTCTGTACAAACTAGCCTTTTTGGTATTTTAATATCTGATGATAGAAGCCTGCCTACCCCATTATTCTTCTTTTTCAAAACTTTTCAGAATATGCCTATTTATTTATCTTCCTGATAAACTTTAGAATTTCAAGTTTTGTTTTTGTTATTTTTTTAATCCTATTGGATTTCAATTGAAATTTGGGGAGAATTAGAATATTTAGCATATTGAGTTTTTCTCTCTAGGAGCATGATATAGCTCTTCATTTGTCAAAGTGTCCTTATATATCCCTCGGTATAAGTGTAAAGTTTGCATCATACAGCTTCTGTCCAGTTCTCACTAAATTTATTACTCGTGTGTGACAGTGTTCCTTACTATTGCGAATGCTATCTTTATCCCATTATATGGGTAGTGCCTGAAGCTAAAAGGAAGCTATTGATTTATACATATTTATTTTAGTTTTAAAAACTGCAGTAAAAAATGTAACATTAATTTACCACTTTTACATGTCTGTTTTTTAACTTGCCACTTTACTGAGCTCTCCATTTTGCTTTATCATTTGATTGATGAGGGTGTCTTCCTACATATTTTATTCAAATAAGGACATTTAGGGATGCACATTTTCTGGATTATACCTTATCGGAAAATGTCTTTGCATACACACGGAGACCATTTAGCTGGGTATTAAAATACCTTTTCCTTGAAACTTGGAGGATATTACAGTGGGAACATTTGATGCAGGCCCCATTCGTGCTCCTTTGCTGGTAGCTATTTTTCTCTGCCAGGACACTGTAAGATTTTGGTTTTCCCTTTCTCCTTGTATTTAACAATTTGAAAGGCCCTATGCTTACTCCAAAAGCAATTGCCACATGAAGAGACCAGAAACATTGTGAGCAATGACAGCATTATTAGAATACGTTCATAGCTCCTCAGTGTGACCCTTTTGAAAGGAACAATATTTCAGTACACCAGATGTGAGAGTCAGAAGAGCTCTTACAGCACCGGATATGAGTTGGATGAGATCAACTCTGAGCTTCCTTCTAGCCCTGACACTATCACATTCTATGTAGATGTTCTGAAAAACCAGTCACTATGCTTTAACATCATATGGGACCAGGGAAGGACTGGAAGACAAGATGCATAGTCCATTCCCAATAACATGCAAACCTGAATTATTTTATTTTATTTTATTTTAAGATGGAGTTTCACTCTTGTTGCCCAGGCTGGAGTGCAATGGCACAATCTTGGCTCACCACAGCCTCTGCCTCCTGGGTTCAAGCAATTCTCCTGCCTTAGCCTCCCAAGTAGCTGAGATTACAGGCATGTGCCACCACGCCTGGCTAATTTTGTATTTTTGGTAGAGATGAGGTTTCTCCATGTTGGTTAGGCTGGTCTCGAACTCCCGACCTCAGGTGACCCTCTCGCCTCAGCCTCCCAAAGTGTTGGGATTACGGGCATGAGCCACCATGCCCAGCCAATTAGTTTATTAATAGATGTAGGGACCACCAGAGCTGAAAGAGACATCAGATCATCTGGTTCAACCTCTCATTTTCTCTAGAAGGACATTCAGGCCTCAAAGAGTTTGAATAACTTGCCCACACCTGCCTGGCCAATGGCAAGTAGCCCATCCAAGCCTAGAACCCAGTCCTGGCTCTCTCATTAGCTTCACTCTCCAGCATCTTGTCTCCCCCAGTCACTTAGCACAGTGCCTCACACATAGCAGTGCTCAGTAGTCTCTGTAGAACTGAAATTAGTCAGATTCCCTAGGGAGGCAGGGCTCCGGACAGGAATATTTTGATTGGGAGTGGAAATTCAGTGGTAGGAAAGGTTTGGAATGTGTTGAAGGATGCACTGGGTTAGTGCATCCCAGAGATGTAGGGGCTTGGAGTTTCTCTCTGAATAAAATGACATCTCCCACAGTGGCCTTGGGGGAGATGGTGAAGACATTCCCTGTCTCCCTCACAGCCTCCTTCCCTGGACTCATCCCAGACTGTGGACCCCTTCATCCTAGACGTCATCACCTACTACATCCGCATGGGCACCCAACCCATCTATTTCCAGATCTACACAGTCAAGGTAATCATCCCACTGAAGGCTCCAAGGGATCCCAGGACCCCACAGATTAAATACCCAGGCTCAGGGGAAACACTGGTTATCAGGCCACGAATCATGAACACACCCAGATACTCTTGGTTATTAACGTTACCTCCTTCATCTCTAAATGAATCAGATCGTTATTCATTTCAAGACCTCAAATCCAAGAAGTAGGTCTTCTTTATGTGGAAGGGTTCTCCATGGCCCTGGATCCCTGGAAATCAGGGACAGAGTGATTTGGAAATCACACCAGGAAATGCCACCCTCCCTTCCTCTCTCCAGATCTTCTTCAGTGACCTGAGCCAAGACCCTACCGAGGACATCTTCCTCATTGAGCTGAAGGTGAAGATCCAAGATTCTAAATTCCCCAAAGGTAAGCATCTGCCTCCCTTTTCCCAAAGGTCATCCTGACTCAGCTTCTCCAGACTCTCATCCTCTCCCCTCTCACCTGATGATGCCTGCACCCCCACACCCTCAGTGCTCGTCCCTGCTCTGTTCCCTACCTCTACTGAATGCCAAGGCTGCCCTTGATCCCCTCCAACCCCTGAAAGACTGAAAGGCAGCCTGGCCCCCTGAGGTGTCGCCTTTCCATCCAGAGAGATGGATGGATGGGTAAACCCAGCAGCTCAGCTCCTGCCCTCAGAGAGGTGGGGAAGTCAGGGCGAGAGGGCTGGGAACCTCCACCCCAAGCCTCTTCTCATCTCCCGGCAGATGGCTTTTCACCCAGGAGGAGAGGCGTGGCCGAGGGCCCAGGGGCGGAGCTCTCCCTGTGCTACCAGAAGGTCAGCGTGCATGGGCGTGGTCAGTAGGTGGCCAAGAGGTACAGCTGGAGAGAGCGGGCCTCGAGGACAAGCAGGGCAGCAGACAGAGCCAAAGGAAGCTTCTGCCTCTTTTCTTGATGCTGCCTGCAGAGTTCCCCAGCCTTCAGGGAATTTTGCAGGGATGGGTGGGTTAAGTTGGCCTTACATGTAGACCAGGAGGTGATCTGATTTAAGGAACAAGGGGCCTGACTCCTTGCTAAAAAATATCTTTCTCGCTAGCTGGCCAGATGCTTGAACTTTCACTGGAGATTTACTCTTTGGGGTCTGGAAGGCTAAACATACTTCTAGGGCTGGGAGTGCTGTAAGCCTTTATCTGCTAGTCCTTATGGGACCGTAGTGACATAGACAAAACAGGGTCTGGCACAGTGGCTCATGCCTGTAATCCCAGCGCTTTGGGAGGCTGAGGCAGGAGGATCACTTGAGCCCAGTAGTTCAAGACCAGCCTGGGCAACATAGTGAGACCCCCAGCTCAAAAGAAAAAAAAAAAAAAGACTCTCATAGCAGGGGTGGAAAACAGGGGAGAGAGGCGAGACTGTGGATGTGGGGATGCGTGGGGAAAGGGTATGTCCTGAGGACCTCCACCTGTTCCTTGATCCCCCTCCCCAGGCCTTGCTCAGCCACCGGCCCCGAGAGGTCACCGTTTCCCTGAGGGCCACTGGGCTGGTCCTGAAGGCCATTCCAGCCAGCGACACAGAAGGTGAGGAACGGGGAATGCAGAGCAAAGAAAGAGACAAGAGATGAGAAGGGCAATGCTGGGGAGAGGGCAGAGTGGCAGGAGAAGGGGGAGCCCTCCCAGTCACGGAACTGGAGCCAGGTCCAGGGCTTGGTGACTGCCTTCAAGCTGCTTGCTGTGGGGTCCCCCAGACTCTAGCACTGGTCGCCGGCTTGAGCCTCAGCAGCCTGGTGAGACATAGCTGGAAGGTGGAGGACTACAGGGAGGGGTTACGGTTGGCCTCCTGCCACAGAACTGGGCCTGCAGGGCTAGTTGTCCTCTGTGTGAAAATTTTGCACTTTGAATGTCATTCCAAAAAAAAAAAATGGAGACAATAGAAGATGCCAATTTATGTGCATATAGTAAATTATAAAAATTAGCTCATATTGTGAGCTCCCTGGTCTCCTAGAATAATGCAAAGGATGGCAATATGGATTACTAACATTGCAAACATGCACCAGAGGCCAGGCAGTGAAGCATGTGAACCCTAGGAAATAGATAGTATTAGTATTAGCAACTTTTTACTAGAGAGGAAACTTATAACGCACCCAACGTCACGTCTGCAAGGAAGAATCAGAACTGGAATTCAAACCCAGGTATTCTCATGCAAGAGCCTATGTTCCTTACCACTGCCTCCCCTAGAATTGCTAACTCTCAACAGACTAGACTTAGGGGATGTTTATCCAGTGATGCTTGTAGAAGACGGTTTTGGAGCAAACAAGAACATTCACCCAGGCAGAATTATATCTTGTTTGCCATCTATTCCATTTGTCCGTGATATGTCCTGGCATATAGTAGATACTTGATCAATATTTCAGGAATAAATGAAATGCTACTTTACACTCAAAAATTTGTTTTAAAAATGAGTGAACACATTTGGAATATTCCAGAAGAAAAACGGAATGAAAATACACATGAGCCAGGCTGGAATGCTTACGGGGAAGCCAACTCTGATCCCTCCTCTCCTCTCCAACCACGAGTATTTACTCCGTCTCTGAAATCCACTGTGGCTTTGCTAGCATTCCAATGATGACACCTTTCTGATTTCTGACAATAATGCATTTGTGTTCATGTGTGGGTATCCTAGTGTCACAATTTCCTTAGCATCTGGCACAAAGAAGAAACTCAAGAAATTATATCACTTCCTAATGAAATTGCTTCCAGGCAAGTTGAATTCGTGGATGATGACATATGAAACTCCATCACAGCAGGACACTCTTTCCCTGCAACTCTTTAACACCATGAAGGAGACGCGTACTCATGGCAGTAGCTCTTAACCTAGAGGTGCTCAGGAGCAGGCCATCAAGGCCGCGGGGCCAGAGCCAGATGGGTAGGGCTCACACCCCAGCTTTGCCACTGACTATCTGTGTGACCTTGGATGTGTGACTTGTGTCCTTTCTACCTGTTTTTTTTTTTCTAAAATGGAGATAATAAGTAGCTACTAATTTGTGTGCATACAGTAAACTATACATGTTAGCCCTTATTGTTCAAACTGTATTCCTTCCATTTCTCTCACAGACTGTCCCCACTCCCAGCCCTACTCTAGACCCTATCAGTACCAGTCTGATGATGCCACCCTCGGTGGAGTAGACTTCTACAAACCCTCTTTAGTCGGCAGGGAGGGATGAAGCCTACCAGCAGGCACACAGTAATGATTTTTGACACATTATACACTATTAAGCAACCCCATCTCTACTAAAAATACAAAAAAAAAAAAGTTAGCTGCGTGTGATGGTGCTCGCCTGTAATCCCAGCTACATGGGAGGCTGAGGCAGGAGAATCGTTTGAACCTAGGAGGCAGAGGTTGCAGTGACCGAGATCATGCCACTGCACTCCAGCCTAGGCAACAGAGTGAGACTCTCTCAAAATATATGTATATAATATATATGTGTGTATATACACATATACGTATGTGTGTATATATACATATATATGTGTGTATATATGTATATATGTGTGTATATACATATATACATGTGTGTGTACATACGTGTATATATGTGTGCGTGTGTATATATATACACACACAAAAAAAACTATAATGAAAAAGGAAGTCAAAGAAACACTCTACCTGTTGGCACTACTGCCCTCCTCACCCACTTGGAGCCTCTGTCCTGCACAATATCCCTGGGCAGGTGCTTCTTTCATTCGTAGCATGCCCAAGAGCTGCAGGAAGTTCAAGAGAACTTCTAGAACTTTATTCCTTTTACAAAGGATTGCAGGAGGACATAATGAAAGGGTGGGGGTGTGGATTTGGGTTGGTGATGGCCGCTGACCTGAGAATATGGAAACTTGCAGATTCACCGGGGAAGGAAGAAGGATGATTGAGAAGGAACCGTAACTTGGCTGGGACCAAGCAGATTCAGGAAGTAGGGGCCCAAGGAGCAGTGAGAGGGCTTGGGGTGTGAAGATGGGTTCATGGAGATCTTGAGACCTAGAATCTCAAACTCCCCTACTTCCCTGGAGGTTCATTTACAGCCCCACCAATCTCATTCAGTTTCAGGGTCTCGCCATTGCCCGCTGCCTGCTGCTCCTGTCACAGACCACACATGTCTGAATGTCAGCGTGACAGAGGTTGTCAAGTCCTCCAACTTGGCGGGAAAGTCCTTCTCTGTAAGTACTGAGTAGACTGGGAAAGGGAGACAGGTTACTGGGAGCTCAGAGTAGACTGGGAAAGGGAGACAGCCGGCCGGGGCTCAGAGTAGACTGGGAAAGGGAGACAGGTTACTGGGAGCTCAGAGTAGACTGGGAAAGGGAGACAGGTTACTGGGAGCTCAGAGTAGACTGGGAAAGAGAGACAGGTTACTAGGAGCTCAGAGTAGACTGGGAAAGGGAGACAGCTGGCTGGGGACTCAGAGTAGACTGGGAAAGGGAAACAGCCGGCCGGGAGCTCCGAGTAGACTGGGAAAGGGAGACAGGTGGCTGGGAGCTCAGAGTAGACTGGGAAAGGGAGACAGGTGGCTGGGAGCTCAGAGTAGACTGGGAAAGGGAGACAGGTGGCTGGGAGCTCAGAGTAGACTGGGAAAGGGAGACAGGTTACTGGGAGCTCAGAGTAGTCTGGGAAAGGGAGACAGCCGGCTGGGGGCTCAGAGTAGACTGGGAAAGGGAGACAGGTGGCCGGGGGCTCAGAGGGGAGGGTATTCAGAGAAGGGAACTGACTTCCCAGCCTTTCTGAGCCGTTGCTATTGGAATGGGTCTTCCTGTTGGAAGGAATCTGCTTTGCAGTCGGTCTGAAGTGCAGAGTGCCCACTGGTATAAGGAAAGCACTTTAAGAGTCAAAGCCCTGCCCTCCATCTGCTGACCATTTGAGGACCTAAGACATACCCAGATGACTGCAAAATGCACCTATGTCCTGTCATCCCAGGCGCCACACCACAGCCAGACTCCTAAACAACAACAGCCCAACCTTTGACCAGATCAAACCAGCTCTCTCAATCCCCTTGCCTTTTGCCCTTTTGCCTTTGTGCATATCGACATTTTTTTATTTTTTATTTTTATTTTTTCTTGAGACGGAGTCTCACTCTGTCGCCCAGGCTGGAGTCCAGTGGTGCCATCTTGGCTCACTGCAACCTCCACCTCCCAGGTTCAAGCAATTCTCTTGCCTCAGCCTCTCGAGTAGCTGGGACTACAGGTGTGCGCCATCATGCGCCATCATGCCCGGCTAATTTTTGTATTTTTAGTAGAGACAGGGTTTCACCATGTTGGCCAGGCTGGTCTCAAACTCCTGACCTCAGGCAATCCACCTGCCTTGGCAAAGTGCTGGGATTACAGGCGTGAGCCGCCACGCCTGGCCGATACTTACTGATACAGACATAAGACTATTCATTTCCTTTCTACCCAATGGCCTCTCTGGACTTCACTTCCCCGCTCAGCTTGGCTTTGGTGCCCCATCACTGCGCCTGAACCATGTTCGCACTGATGTCCTCACTCCCGTGCACCACCCAGCAGGCTGACACTCCAATTTAGGTCAAGCCACTTACTCAGTCTGTATACCCAGGTGGCCAAGTGCTTCTGGAATAACCCCTGCATCCTCACTGATTAGATCCACAGCAAACTCATGACCTCCCCCTCACCTGGATTCTTGGGATCACGTAGCCCTTTCCTTACCCACCCCCTCCAGGCTCTCTATCTGTTTGCAGTTCTCTCTCCCCAGCTTTGACCTCTTCCTCTCCACTGCTCCTTCCGCTTAGCCTACATACACTCAGGTCTTTTCCATCTTAAAAGGAAAACAAAAAAAGGCCAAAAAAAAAAAAAAACCAAAACTCTGCCATGACCCAACTACCTCTCTAGCTACCCACTGCATCTCTTTCCTTCCCTTCTCAGTCAAGCTCCTTGAAAGGTACTTCTAGAAGAGTTTCCAGCCCCTTATCAATAACTCTTCTACCCACGACCACCTGTTTACATGCGTCCCACTGTGGCAAAGTCACCTCCATGTTGCCAAAACCAGTGGTCACTTTTTAGCCCTTATATTTCTTTATCCTTTAAGATTATGTTTTTGTTTTTTTGTGTTTTGTTTGTTTGTTTTTTGAGACAGAGTCTCACTCTGTTACCAGGCTGGAGTGCAGTGGCGCGATCTTGGCTCACCACAACCTCTGACTCCCTGGTTCAAGTGATTCTTCCGCCTCAGCCTCCTGAGTAGCTGGGATTACAGGCACGCACCTCCATGCCCACCTAATTTTTGTATTTTTAATAGAGACAGGATTTCACCATGTTGACCAGGATGGTCTTAAACTCCTGACCTCGTGATCCACCCACCTCAGCCTCCCAAAGTGTTGGGATTACAGGTGTGAGCCACTGTGCCTGGCCAAGATCATGTTTTAACCTATAAACAAAAGTTTCATTATTTATTTTGGAAAATATAAAAAAGCACAAGAAGTACATTCACCAGTAGTCGCAATCCTTGGAGAGGATGAATATTAACATTTTCAGGTGTAAACACCCAAGTCTTTTTTTCTAGCTATTTTAAGATGATTAATTGATAGCTACACTACATACTGGTCTGTACCTTGATGTTTTTTACTCAAAAATATACTAAAGCCTCGTAAATAGGTCTTGATGGGACCTTGCTTTGGTCATTAAATATGTTTTGCGTCATTAAGTATATGTCAGTATTTATTATATGATGGTTCCATATACCTATATAATTCTAATAATTCTAATAATAAATTCTAAGACGACGTTTAAGTAAGTTCTCATTTTTCACCATTACGAGCATGTGAGCAATTTCCTTAGGGGTAAATATGTGCTAAAAATCATGGTTATGTCTTTTTAGAAGAATGCCTAGAAGTGAAATCATCCAGTCAGGTGGCATCGTTTTTATATATTTTGCCAAATTGCCCTCTAGAAAGTCAATACCACGTTCCAATCTGATTGTAGTGTTAGAGTGCCAATTTTGCAGTACAATTCGCATATTGATTGATTTTTTTATCTTCACAAATTTGATGATCAAACTTTTCATTATTTTGTTTCCTTTATTACCAATTAGTAAAACTGAATACTTTCTTGTATTTCTATTTCTTCATTCATATATTTCCTATTCATATTCTCATCTCATACTAATATCCTATTTTGTAGTGTGAGGACATTAACCCCTTCTTTGTCATAAATTTTGGAAATACTTTTCCCAGTTTGTCTTTTAATGCTTTTTTTAACCTAAAATAGCTTTATATTTTGACGTAACAAAATCTACCATTTTCCTTTAATGATTTCTGACTCTGATATAATTAAACATGATACATGTCTAAAGACCCCATCTCCTTGAATTTAAGGCATACCACAATTTTACATACTACTAAGAAACAAACAATGCTTCCTAAACTATGGACAATGTTCTCTTATCACATTGGTTGCAAAATACTCCCTAATTTTAGAGCTATTGAAACGTGTTTTAGAATCAATGAAAATGGCAGACCTGTTTAATAGTAGTATGCTGTTCCTTCCTTGTGGTTTTATTCTTTTATTTCTTCACTCATTCTAAACATCTTTATTTTATAATCTGATTTGTGTAATTCCATTATCTATAATTACTGGGAGTCTAATCCTTCTGTTTATTGGGTTCACTGACCCCCTCCCCACAGTAGCTTAATTCCTTGTTTTTCAATTATGAGTTCATATTTCTTAGGGCTTTATCTGTGGGAAAACTGGGTGGAAAAATTGTCCTTCTAGAGAAATTCTGAATTTGTTTTTGCCAACTGCCTCGGAGATGTTATCAGCTCAGAACCATATTTTGAGTTCAGTTTTGGCTGAGAAATTGCCAGACCATGAAGATAGTGTACATGTGTACCCCAGATTCACATCCGGACGGGCTCATAGCTAAGAATCTCCAGGAAAGACTTGCCTTCCTCACTCATCGTATAAGCCAAAGCAGACGGGCTTTTTTTCTGTGGTCTTCCCTATTTCTGTGTTTGTTTTTTCGTCCGTTTGTGTCTTTTGCTTTATTTTGCTTTCTAGTCTTTCACTGACAGTGTAGGCTTCAAGAGTCCCTGCTTCATGTAACCCCACACCATTGCCTCCCATCCCCACATGGCTATTTAAACCCAAGCCCTTTGATTCCTGAGATTATTAGCAAATGCTCCTAGGACAGCCAAAGCATCTGACTTACACAATTTCAACTTCTTTGGAATGTACTGACATTTTTTTTGTTGCCTGGTACATGACCAACTTTTTTTTTTTTTTTTTGAGACTGAGTCTCACTCTGTTGTCAGGCTGGAGTGCAGTGGTGAGATCTCAGCTCACTGCAGCCTCTGCCTCCTGGGTTCAAGCAATTCTCCTGCCTCAGCTTCCCAAGTAGCTGCGACTACAGGTGTGTGCCACCACACCCAGCTACTTTTTGTATTTTTAGTAGAGACGGGGTTTCACCATGTTGGCCAGGATAGTCTTGATCTCTTGGCCTCGTGATCCGCCTGCCTTGGCCTCCCAAAGTGCTGGGATTATAGGAGTGAATGATCAACTTTTTGATATTCAATGGCAACTAAAAATACATATTTGTTTTCTATCTATAGAATATATAAAGTATGAAGTTTAGTTATTAAATCAAACACATTGTATTACTGTAATCTACAAATTTAAAATATTTTTTGTCTACTTCATCTGGCCAAAACTGAGAGAGGTTTGTGGATGTTCCTGCTATGGTTTTGATTTTGTCAATTCTATCTGGATTTCTTTGAAAGTGAACTTTCTTCTAGTTTTTGATGCTGCTGTTGTATAATATGATGCCTTCTTATGCCTAGTCTTTGTATGAGACTTTTTTTTCTCTCTCTCTCTGTCTCTTTGGAAGCCTTAAATACTTAGTTTCAGAGAAGATTCTGAATATCACAGGAATATACCTTGGTGGGATCTTTTTTCATTCATCATTTTGGACCTTTGATGGACATTCTCAATCTGGAGACTCATATCTTTCAGTTCTTGGATATTTTCTGACACAATCTTTAAAATAGTTTCCTTCCCTTTATTTCTTTGCTTTCTCTTTCTGAAACTATGAATAGTAGGATGTTTGACCTTCTAAATTAATGCTCTAATTTTCTCATCTTTTTTCTCCCATTGTCCTTCTTTGTTATTTCTTCAATATTGGGGGAGTTTTCTTCAAATTCATTTTTTGAACATTTAGGCTATTT